TGTGATATTAGTTCACCAATCGAGAAAGTTCAAACTCTGGCTTGTAAATATCTGCTTTGTGTCAAAATATCAACCCCTAATCACATCGTTCGGGGTGAGTGTGGCAGATACCCTGTTTATGTTTATGCGTACAAACGCTGTATTAAATATTGGTATAAATTGTTGAATATGCCAGTATCTCGTCTGCCCAGAAAGTGCTACAACCTATTATTGTTAGATGCTAGCCATGGCAAAACTAATTGGGTATCAAAGCTTAAGTTATTACTTTATAATATGGGATTTGGATATATATGGGAAAGACAGTCCATTAGTAGTTTAAATTCCTTCCTGTCTGAATTTATGATCAGGGCTCAACACATATCCCATCAAGAATGGCATAACTCGTTATCATCAAGTTCTAAAACTTATTCATATTCTCTATTCAAGTGTAATCTATCTATGGAACCATATCTAAGTGTTATTAACGTTAGTAAATTTCGCATTGCACTTGCACAGTTTCGCTGTGGTTCCCATCAATTAAATATTGAGACAGGTAGATACACAAATAAACCAAGACATCACAGGTTATGTAAAATGTGCGACTATGGATATATAGAAAGCGAGTATCATTTCCTTTTAGTGTGTACTGCATACAGTTCTTTGCGCACACTATATATTCCTGCTACGTTTTACACATACCCTTCTTTGTCAAACTACAATATATTAATGACCTCCAACAATACCTTTGTCATTAGAAATATAGCAATGTTTGTCTATTATGCTGTAAGACACCGCCAATTATATATGGCTGCAAATATGTAATATTTGTATTATGGGCCGATGGCCTACATACATTCTGCGAATAAAGAATTGAATTGCAAATAAATTATTTGCTTTAATCTTTGTGTGCTGGTTTCTTGATATGATCAATCGTCTTTCTTTGGGACTGATCACACTTTACGCATTACTACTAGAACACACTGAAGAATTTTCTTTTTCACTAGCTGACAGTTAAAGAGACAGATAAAGATTTGTCAATTCTATTTTTTTCATCTGTATATTTATTTATTATATCTATTATCAGCTGTTAAGGAGGTTACAGGTCTTTATCATGTTATGTATTTCGCAGATTTATATGACTAAGTATCACGACAAATAACCGATGCTTTACACGTGAATGGAAATCGAAAATGTAATAAAACTGATGTTTGATGCACCATATCAGAGACGATACATCGACTTCTCAGAAAACATATACTAACGAATTTAGGGTACTTCTGTACTGTATACAGTAGTTAGGTCGAACTTATCGTCTTCCGTAACGGTACGTATTTCATCACCATACTTAAACCTTTACGGACAAATTTAGCAGAAGACGCATTTTATGAAATAAAGCTGAAAGTTACTTAATAATCTTCATAAAATCATGAACCTTGAACGTAATTATTTCAGTGTTCCCATACTGAAGTATACCGGAAGACAGGCTCAACACATTGATCATTGCCGTTATCATGACTGCAAATGTTACCGTGACCGCGGAAAATGAATTCAGTACCTAATCAGTTTTCCATGAACATGTGATAGGCAAGTGGCTTGCATACCAGTCTGCTGTAGGTCTATTCAAAACATAGTCATAGTTGGGATCGTCCCACGGCTGTATGTTGTCAACTGGTGGAATCGTCGTTAATACTGTTAATGTACTGAATATTTACAAATAGATGTAAATGTATGTTCTCTAAACATGCTGAACATTGTTATTATATTGTTACTATATTGTTGCCACAATTGTTTCAGGGTTTAGCGTGTACACTGAATTCTCAAGCCACTTGGAAGTAAACATACAACCCTGCATTCACTGTGCGTGTTGTCATTGTGACCCAGCCACATGTTGATGACGGTAGTCTGTATATAGTCGAGTGTTGGCCGGATAAACGAGTGATTGCTATTATGGCAGCTTCCAAGCAGCCGGTGCATGACAACAATTATTCTTCCTAGTGACAGAACCTATTCATATAGTCCACATGGACGACATGTTCCTTGATCCTTGATAACCAGAATCCCATGGGGAATGAAGCTTACGGTTCGTGACCGGTGTTAACCACATGTAAGTCTTGACCAATCTGTACACAAGTCTGTGACTGTACCGACATCATTCAGTAATCTTGAGGATCAACGTGCGGGTGTCATGTCCAGGAGCTCTGACGGACTCTGGTCGCCTTCTTTGATACCAGCACAACAAAATCTCGTGAAGTATACTTTAGCATTTACTCTTTAATATTAAACGTCAGTACAAAAAAATGTCCTGTTCAGTCCTCAGAAAAGTTAGGGAGTGTTTTAACACCGCTTTTAGCAGTATCACGGCGGGACACCTAAATGGGCTTCACACATTTGGTCCATGTGGGGAATCAAACCCGGTTCTTCCGTCTGACGAGCAGACGAGTCCATACGTATGTTCATGTTCTCCAAGGTACAACAGTTTCCATATTCAAGTCCAAACCAACAGACAACATGTGCTTAGTGAACGTGTAGAGTGTAGCAGACCCACAAAAAGATAACGGTGTAACTTATTCCTGGGTGAGTGAGTGAGTGAGTGATTGTAGTTATACAGTCATCCAGCTATATCACAGGAGCCTGAAGTTTGTAATCTTAACACTATCACAGCTATAAGACTGCGACAATAAATCTTGAATCGTGACCCTCCGCATTCTCATTCGACATCACTCGTCCCTTTCTGTAACATGCAAACTGTCCTTGAATGACGAGTTTATCACAAATGAACCACGTCAACCCTGTACGGTATATCTCTTCCGGTGCTCAGTTTCCCTCTACACCGGTTACTTAGGATCTATCTCGCCTGATGCTCTGTTTCCCTCTACACCGGTTACCTAGGGTCTATCTCACCTGATGCTAAGTTTCCCTCTGGACCGGTCACTTGGCTGTGTCAGGTAAGTGTGTTTTGACAGGGGCTGCGTCTATTCCAGTTATAACGCTACACACCTGTCCTACTGTGTACAGGTAAAACTACAATGGTTCATCTAACTGTTAGGTCATCTCCAGGCACATTCTCAAGTCCGGGCACCTATTTTACTGCAATATTTGGACTGAACACAGTGTATGAAGTGTCTACTTTCATTACTTCCTTCATCAGCCTCTTGACTTCAATACTGATATCTGTCCCGATGTATGTGGATGTATGTATCACGTGTGTATGTTAAAGTTATTACTGAATTGATCTCTGATAAATGCAACAGTAGAAACATATGGTAAAATACTTTTACATAACCACATTATTTTGCACATCTAATGTAGCGGAATCCGAACTGAACGTCTCCTACTTTAGATATGGTAATGAGCGGGTATCGCCATGAACTCTGTCAGGTGATTGACATGCTGCACACGGTTCATAACTGCATATTGTAATGCTGGTGACGACGAGTTGCAAAGATCAATTGACGAGCTGCTCACTGACAGTTATCTGATTGATGGTGCTCCTTGACACCAAAACATACCCAGTCTGTTAGATATACAATGTCATGTGGTAATGCTTGTCAACCTCAAAAGATAACATATTCTACAGCACAATAGCACAACTCATACAACAGCACGGGGACAGACCACCTGACTTTCATGGCAGTGTTTCGTGAACTAATCACCTGAACTAAATTATGAATCAATTCCGTAAAAGAATAAGCTTTGAAACCAACAAAAACAACAACAACAAAGAAATGTGCTGTAATTAACAGTTGTATTCTTAAATTAACTAAGTTCAGAAATCAGTACAAAGGCACCACGAGTGCCCAAAAACATTCGTATTGTGGCTCAACGGTTCCAATATGTCAGCCAAAAGAGAGAATTTTGTGTTTGTGTAAACCGTGAAATATCTGAGGGAATGTATGTTCTGTGTTTTACGTATGAAGAAGTATCCAGTATCAATATCAGGCCAAAGAAAGAATCTACAAGACGGACAGTGGTTTGTATAGTGGATAGAATGTTTATGTCGTGTCTGCTGACTTTTGATGGCGACCTCCCAGAAGTTGACAGAAAACTTCCTGACATGCACCATATGTACAGAGGTGTTTTACAAGCCCTGTACACTTGTGTGTAATCACACCTTCTGTCGGAAATGTGTCGTCAACTACACCAAAACCAGACCAGAAGCCATAAGTGCCAAGTCTCTCCTGTGTCCATTCTGCAGCAAGATGACGAAAGTGTCTGACCCCGAGAGACCAGTGGAGGAGTGGGCGGATGACGTCAAGCCGAGCTTTGTCATCCAGGGACTGTTGGACTCGTTTGGCCCCGGATCTAAAGGTGAATAATTGTAGGTTGTAGCAATATACGTGTTGTTTTAAAGCAGGTAACAGAATAATTGATTTAAGCAGTATAAATGTTTATGATGTTATGAACACTGTATGACCCCTGCTATGTATATACTGGTATAGTTTGATGTATGTAAAACAACTGTTTGTGAGGAATGTGACCTTTTATTGTGGATATGTGTTCAACGAGCAAGAAACAGCATATCAGGTGACATGACCAAAGACATATATAAACCTTATTCATGATCCGTACAACAACGTTTACGGTGAGACAATTTCAAACATATTTACATGACGTTTCAACCTGAGACGTGTTGATATGTTTCCGATACATTTTCAAGTCAAGTAGGAACACATCCAGCCCTATAATACATTCTGATGTCACCAAGTTAATATCACCACATCCAGCCCTATAATACATTGTGATGTCACCAGGTTAATATCACCACATCTAACCCTATAATACATTGTGATGTCACCAGGTTAATATCACCACATCTAGCCCTAGAATACATTGTGATGTCACGAGGTTAATATCACCACATCTAGCCCTAGAATACATTGTGATGTCACCAGGTTAATATCACCACATCTAGTGCTTTAATACATTTTGATGTCACCAGGTTAATATCACCACATCTAGTTCTATAATACTTTGTGATGTCATCAGGTTAATGTCACCATATGAATGAATGGTTATTTCAGATACAACTAACTGCAGTTATTGCAAGGAGGAAGGGGAGACAACTCCAGCTACATCTTGGTGTTCTGTTTGTGACGACGCACTATGTGAACAATGTACAAGGATGCACCAACGAATCCCCTCTTTCCGTCACCATGACATAATTGACCTGTCTGGAGAGACAAAGGTCAAGGTCAAGAGAAAGGTCATGTGTAAAGTTCACAAGGACGAGAATATCAAATATCTTTGTAAAGATTGTAAAACAGCTGTTTGTCAAACATGCTGCACCATCCATCACAGGAAATGTGAGATGGTTGTTGAAATTGAGTCAGATATTCCTGCAATCAAAACCGAGCTGAAAAGGAATAAAGAGAATTTGCTAAAGAAACACGATGAGATGAAAACATATGTTGGAAAACAAAACTCCATTGTCAAAGAAGAATTGGCGCTATATATACAAATAGAATCAAGTATCAAGTCTGCAAGTCTCACAGCAATACAGATGATCAAAGTCAAGGAACGAAAACTTCTGTCTGAACTGAAAGAGATGTCTGACAGACACATTGGACAACTGAGATAAAGTCAGGTGAGATATCAGTGCAGATGTACCAACAACAGGCTGAGCTGATAGACCAGGCTCTACAATCTGAGTGTGACATGGATGTGTATGAGATGTATCAGGGATGTGAGGCCGGTGATGTGGAGGCTGTCGGAGTCGTAGAGGTGAAGGAGAAGATAAGAATAGACAGGATAACATTCAGACAGGACACGGACATGCTGAGTAGAGCACTGGAAGATCTCCATCTGGGTGAGATACACGTCCAGTATGACGATGTGCTGGACCTGAAGGCTGCTCCTGTGTTACAGGACACCATTGATGTGACAGTAGCAGGAGATGCACGTGGAGGAGACCCCTTTGACGTGACGGTGTTAGAGGTGAATGATACAGACACAGTGGTAGTTACAGACTACAACAACAATATAAAGTCCTTCTATGTCAGGAACAGTCAACCAGGTCACAGCAAGCTCAGTCTGGGAGGTAGACCATGGAGTATAACAAGGCTGAAACACAACCAGGTGGCTGTCACTGTGCCGTATACCAGTCAGATTGTAACAGTTGAAGTGAACCCTGACCTGGTGCTGCTGTCGACCATCACAACCAACAAACTTTACTGGGGTATAACGTCTCTGACACCATCAACACTAACAGCAAGTTCCCACTCCCCTCCCTGTGTTGATATCCTGGATATGTCGGGACACGTGCTGAGGTCAGTTTGTCCTCGCCCCAATGGTGGAAACATCTTAAAGTATCCCAACTTCCTCTGTACCACGAGAACAGGAAACATCCTGGTGTCTGACAGTGGAACCAAGTGTGTCGTGTGTCTGACCCCCGAGGGAGATGTGGTGTTCAACTACAAACCTACAGGAGACACAGCACTGAAGGATCCACGTGGTATCACAAGTACCAGCACAGGTGACATCCTGGTGACAGCCTACTCACAACACAGAGTCATCCATCTGACAGAGTCAGGACAGTTTGTTAGAAACATACTGACATCACAGGATGGTGTCAAGAATCCACGGGGACTGTGTGTTGGTGGGCGTTGTCGTATGTACTTGTGTACATCAGATGGAGTGAAGGTATTTACATGCTGTAAATGAGTGAACATGTGACAATCTCTTTCTTTATGTTAAATATAGATATATATATACCTGGATAGATATGATGTGATGCACTGTAGGAACATTTGACTTTAGATGTAAACGTGACGAACCATACCTGTTCTAGAAAGACACAGCTTGTAATGTAATGAGGGTCTGTGGGGTAGCGGATTGGTTAAAGCGTTTGCTCGTCTCGCCGAAGACCCGGGTTTGATTCTTTAAATGGGTACAATGTGTGAAGCCCATTTCTGGTGTCCCCTGACTTGATATTGCTGGAATATTGCTAAAAATCTAAAAGCGATATAAAACCATACTCTCTAACCTACCGAAATGTAATGTAAAGTAAGCAGCCATTACTTCTACTTTATATTCAGATATATTGCCTCAATAGCACTATGTGGTCCGAAATCATTTAGAATATTGATATTTTGAGTTGTAATGATTTTGAATTACTTTTTCTTTAAGTGGCTTTGATGAACAATTGTTTTACAAAATTTACTGAATGAGTTGTAGGTTTTATGGCATGTTGAACAGAGGTTCTCACTCTCTTTTCCACATGTTGTCTGATATTTATAGCAGGGCAATCGTCTTTGCTCACATTTTAGCAACTCTGTATACGTTATTCTGATCACATTTATGCTGTTGATGTTAACTCAGTGTTCGATACGGGATCGTGTTTGATTGGTACAAAAGCAGCCAAACTAGTTGGAGCATGAAATCAGTTCAGAGCAGCCACTGTGGCCAAACGATCACCAGATAGATACAGTACTACCACTGCACACATACACGAACGAACGAACACTTTAACCACTGGTCTACCCGGCCCAAATTTTATCACAATTTCTGTTTAGTGTACGTGTTGTAAATTGATACATACAGTGTTTATACCGACGTGTACAGTTATATACTCTCTGCCTCATATCATTCATTCACTTGATGGAGGAGTAAGAAACGTTGTGTTCCTCATAATAAAGAAGTTGACATCGATAAAACTCTCTTCCTCATCTGTATCACTTATAAATGCCATCAAAGACCTGATGTGTTACATGTACGTAGTGATGTCTGGCTCAGTATAGAACATTGCCATTTCCTTTGCTAATGTGTTATACTACCCTTGCAATTGTTCTGCCTTTGAAATTTCTAATTATGGTGTGTCTTGATTTGTAAACTTGGTTACTTTTATAATACAATTGTTAATTTGTTGAACGTAGTGCAGTTGTTTGTTGTTTCACACTATATTGTTTTGAGAGAGAGAGACAGACACAGAGAGAGAGAGACAGAGAGAGAGAGAGTCAGAGAGAGAGACAGAGACAGAGACACAGAGAGAGATCCCCACTGTCAATCCCCAGGGTCACGTTGTACAAAACAACCGTAGCTCTAAGGTTACCTTACCTCCTTAAGTTGTAACCTTAGGCCTCTGCTAAGGTTGACGTCCCGTTGTACGAATCTACCTTACGCTAAGGTAGCCTTAGTAAAGGTGAAAATTTAAGCTTGGTCCGACCCTACCTTAGTGTGGCTAAGGCTGACAGAAGATCTTTAGCCAAAATACCATCTGTTTACTCTGCGGCGTAAAACGCTATTCACACAACCACCCACTCGCCCACTGAGAAACTATATACTGCAACCGCCAGTATTGGTCTGCAATAGACAGAGGTATCCTGTTAAATAGGTGCGATTCCTCACATGGGTACTAATTTCTGGTAATATTTCTGGAATATTGCTAAATGCGGCGTAAAATTAAACTCACTCACTGACAGTCGGTTGTTGTGTGGTATGTGTATAGCTTTAATCTGCACACACAGTATTAGCATATAGACCCAACACAGAAATCGCAATATTAGGTACCCGTAATGGTGGACCAGATCTGTTGCATGATTAATGATACACTGCTGGGTTTGGGAACATATGTTCCTATACATTTTCAAAGCGATATTGGACCAAGTCGAGTGTCCCTGTGACACTGGTTCAATACAAGTCACACAAACACGCTACAGATGGGTACTTTAGCAAGTTGAATAACACAAGGGGCTCTTTGAGTGACTACTCCTACACCTACTATAAGAGTAGCAACATGTTAACACATTTTCATTGTCCATATCACTGCCCATGTTAAGTGGTATACTAGTGTACACGTGTTACGTCATAATTTATCACGTTGTGACTCCCATGGGGATTGTTTTGTTAAACATTTCGTGACAAAAATAGATACAGAGACTGAGAGTGAGCGTTTATTTCGTATAATGGCCTCATGGCCCAGGGTAAAAAAAATACATAACTGTTTGTTTGTGCATATACATATACATAAATATAATGCATCACTGTATAGCAGTCAAACAGGTAGGTTTCTCTTCTGGTAGATTGCTAGGCTTTTAATAACATTCATATTTTTGGTGCATAACAACTGGTTCAACTTAAATACAGATGGATTTATATGATAATAACCAGGAATAAACTGTATGGTATGGTAGTAAGGACATACTGACAGAAAGTGGAATTCGTCTTCTACGACATCTAAATGACACTTGATTCATATTGCTATTGAATTATCTACATTGCCTTTATTGAAACGCAGCTGTTAGACACCCAATTTGTGCAATAAGCAACGAAATTCACATAACATACGCTCTAGTCTCTATTAGTGTACAACGCAGTTATATACACTTCTGTTTCCAAAACTGACTTGTACGATGAATAAACTTAAAGAAAGGAACTACTACCAATATCACAGTACCAATATCACTGCTCCTAGTTTGGAAACAGATATCCTTGGAGCGTTGCTTAAACGTTGCAATAATACATCTACGTCGCCAAAGTCTTGTGTAATCCGCACAAAAGTGAATCAAAACTTAAGGAATAGTGAACGAACTTGAGACACGAAGTTGACACTTCCATTTTCACCATTCATTCTGACAAGTCTACACCAGTACCTGATACAACGGCTAAAATAATTAAATATATCCCTCCACGCTAGAGCCTCGTCGACTATATAAACCAGGTTTGATAATACTGTATCATTCAAGCTCTGATCGAGACACAACATTAGACGACATTAACTCGACCAACCTTGATCAAGGACTAGAGCGCTGTTGAATATTGAATATTGACTTCTCGTGTCCAAGCTACTCAAATCATGGGTGATATATTTGATAAACTTGCTGACTTTACAGGCCTGTTCTCCGGGTTTTCCAGAGACCCAGCTAGAATTCTGATGGTTGGACTCGATGCTGCCGGTATGTTAAGTAATATTTATTTGCAGCTACATTTTGCACAACTTGCTATTGACATGAACACATTCTAATTTGACAGGATACATTTCGTATTTCAATCATGCTTTATGTATTAAATAGGGCTCCTTGCCTCCAGGCAGGAGACCTATTGAAATCGTTCGGACTATTATTTATTTATTATTCGCCGTATTTTGTACCAAACATAGCTCCTAAACCAGTGCTCAGAATCGCTTCCAAAAAATCACCCACAACGCTGAAGTTGATTGCGCCAAAAACTGACGAATTTTAGGCTCAATAGCAAAAGGCAGATAATTAAAAAATAATTCAAATGTTTCAATTTCCAGAGCAATAATCTCCGAAGCTACATGTCCAATGACTACCAAATGTCAGGGGCAACTCTTGAATCCGATAACCTTCAATTTCAACTGATGACCCATGGGGCCAAGAGGCTCATTTTGTGGCTATATTGGACTGAAGGAAATTTGACGTTGTTGGTGGGTAGGCATTTCCACTGTTCCGTACATTATATGTTTACATATGATAACTAAAGTCCTGACACGACTAGTGGTAGTGTAGCTTCACAACTAGTGTCAGTGTAGCCTCAAGGCTAGTGGTAGTGTAGCCTCACGGTTAGTGGTAGTGTAGCCTCACGGTTAGTGGTAGTGTAACCTCA